ACAATAATTTAAATTGTAATAGTAACTGGCCTGAATGAAATTCTTCGCAAGTTCAATTGTAGCACTGCAATACAGCTTTGTGCAATCTAATGCCCATCTGTATGAGCTGAAGATTGTAAATATTATAGTACAACAACAGCTAGCCCTCCCTTTAACTTATTTACTATGATGTTTTTTTTAGTGTCCATCCAAAGTTAAGACGGCCGTGAACAAAGCGGCTTATGACCATTTTTTCATGCTTAATGGCCATTGTAGTATTGCTGTGGTCGCATGATCAAAATTCAGATGCTTGGCAACTGACTCATATTTATGACGGTTGCAGTGTCCCGGAATCAAGTGATCCTCTTCTGCGCCCTTCTGACAAGCAATGTCAGTGGGGAAGATAGATTCACTTAACTGCAGTGATTCACTTAACAACTGTGGCAAGGAAGGAAGTTAAATGGAGTAAAACTCGCTTAACTGTCTCGTGAGCAACATAAATTTTGGGGTCAGTTGTGGTTTTAATTCAAGGACCACCTGCTAGGAGCACCTGGTAGCGTTCTGGTATGGTGCTCTGGAGGGGAGGGCCCACCTGCCTGCCTGCTCTCGTTGCTGCTATTTGAGCCGATTGGGGCTTACGTGCACGGAGCGTACGGCGCCTGTGCGATGTTCCGCCGAGCAGCTGGAGCGTCGCGGGCAGTAAGGGTTCACCGACAAAAGGGCGAACGACAAAACTACGCCCGACTAAACCACGGTGACAAAACCGCGAGTTCTAAAGCGCTCCGATGAATGAGCGCTGAATCGCGCCGACAACAGCGCGGCGACAAGCGCGCTGTAAAACTAAACCTAACCCTAAACCTAAAACTAAACCTAACCCTAAACGTAACGCTAAACCTAACGCTAAATGTAACCCTAAACCTAACCCTTACCTTAAGTTAAATTGGCTTTCTGTCGATGCACTGTTGTAAAGCGCCCTTCTGTCTCCGCGCTGTTGTCGCCGCGCTGTGGTTGGCGCATTGATCACGTGGTTTTAGCGACGCGGTTCTGTCGGGTCACAGCAGTAAGTACGCATGCACGTGCGTGCATTCACGTGGTCAATGCCGGGCCCCGTTGTAGCGTACCGGTTGCAACGGGATCCGGGATCCACCACTGCTGAATACAAGACACATGGTTGCATCATTGACTTGATGAAATATAAAATTCTTAATCCAAATTGAAATACTGCAGATGAAAATATACTGACATTCAAGATTCAAGTCCCTAGTAAGAAGGGATTGTGGTCTGGTCCAGACCATGGCTATCTTAGTGATCTAAAAAATTGCACTTATATTTTGTTTTTAAAAATGAACTGTGTTTGGTAAAGATTTTCTCTTTAATCCCATGGAAGTAAAGATTATTTGCCGCAGATGGCCAAACCTGTGGGTTTTTACCAGCTGAGAGAGTTGGAAACAGGATTCCATAACAGTCAATCTTGCTTATATACCACCATACCTCTAAATTTTATTTTATCGGCCTACTAAAGCTCCGAATACCATTACCATCACTCAGATTTTCATTTGGGCAATTATAGAATCGATTGTATTTTATACTCTTAACGGTTACAGGGGTCAAGAACACTGATGCTGACATAATTCTGAAACAATCTGTACAATTATCTAGGTCCTGTGGAGACGTTTCCCATTTCACAATACAACTTTGCAAATCCTTTTGGGAGCAGAATACCTACAGGTAAAACAAGCAAGTAAAACGTTCTGTTCAGAGGACATTCTTTTAATGGTGCGCGTACCATGTCTGGGCTGCAAAACACCAAATGACAGCTAGGTGGCAGTGAAATGTTTAGACCAGTGTTGGCGAAACTTTTCAGCACCGAAAAGTGCCAAAACAGCGGAGCACCGGAAACCGGAAGAGCAGCTTGCTGGCGCTGTTGCACATACGGGGAAACTCAGCTTCTGGTTTCCGGCGTGCATGTGCAAAGATCAGACGGCCCGTGCGCATGTGCGTGCCGGAAACCAGAAGCTGAGTTTCCCCGTATGTGCAACAGCGCCAGCAAGCTGCTCTTCCGGTTTCCGGTGCTCCGCTGTTTTGGCACTTTTCGGTGCTGAAAAGTTTCGCCAACACTGGTCTAAACATTTCA